ATGAGGAAATAAAGTCTCAGAAACATCAGGTAACTTGCACTAAAAGTCGTACAATTAGAAATTGACAGAACTGTAGTTCAAGTCCAGGTCTGTGTAACTTAGAAGTCTCTGTTTCTTCAACTACAGTTTACAAATGGGTCTGGAGAATTCAGAAAATGGTTTCTCTCCCTCTCTGTGGATTAGGGAAAATTTTCTCTCAAAATTACCCTTCCAGCGAGTTATAAGGGCTCTGAATTTGGGCTAAGATTGGGCCTGGGCAGTATCATTGGAATGACTCATATGGTACAAATTGCCTTCCATAGGATACCTTTCTCCTACCGCACATCAGCCTACTATACCTTTTCATACTAGGCATCTCTTTCCAATCCAGCCCTTTGCTGATATTAGAGTTCCTATTTGTATGAATGAATATGTTCATTCATTCATTCATTCATTCATTTTACAATTATTTATTTTTTAATCACCTATCATATTTATTACCTGCTATGTGCCAAACCGTGTTCTAGACGGTAAATGAATTAAATTTTTCCAGATCAAAAGACAACTCTGACTCCCCCTCTACCGTACAGCCTCTTCCAAAATCAGACTTTTCAACAAAGTTAATTCCCTAGCATTTCTGGTGTGACATCTTAGCTGAAGATATTATTTGGGGGATAGTAAAATATTACTATCTTCTGTTAATTTTGTTCAATACACAATCTATCTGTTCTACTTGAGAGATCTGAAAATGGTTAGTCAGCTAAGGCAATGGTTCCCAACCTTTTTGGTACCAGGTACTGGTGCACCTATGAGAATCTAATGCCCGATGATCTGAGGTGGAGCTGAAGTGATGATGCTAGCGCTGGGGAGCAGCTGCAAATACAGATGAAGCTTCACTCTCTTGCCTGCCGCTCACCTCCTGCTGTGCAGCTCTGTTCCTAACAGGCCATGGACCTGGTACTGGTCCACGGTGGGGTGGAGGGGTTGGGGAACCCTGAGCTAAGGAGTGCTTTTAAAACCAATCAGCAAATATTTGAATATCTAATTTATGCAAGATCCTGTGCTAGGTGCTGTACAAGGTGCAGTCTTTGACTCTTCTCTATATATTCTCCTCATCAATGACCTTGCCTCCACAACGTCTATTCAAATAACTTTTAAATCTACCAACTGCAATATTTATCTCCTCTTAAACTCGAGAACTGAATTTCCCAATGCTACTGGATATTATAATAATTCGTAAAACTCAAAACGTCAAGAAAGCAATATTTTTTCCCTACCACAGAACTATTATTTTACCGTTTATGCAAGAATTTAGAGGAGAAAGCTGGAGGGATCACATTTAAATAGTAACATTTAGTAATTCAATCTTGAATTACATAAAATTTAAGCTTGAATGGTGAACATGAAAGTAAGAGGCAATTCTAAGAAATTCTTCAGGTTAAAATGTAGACGAGGAATAGTATTAAATTACATTGTATTTACCATGATTTAAATATGAAACCAAGATTTGGAGCCTTAATAACAGGAAGTTAATGGTGTCTTTGTTAGTAGTAAAATACACTATTTAGAATCTGAGGATGTTGAACCAACTTCACTTAATTTTTTTTTTTTTTTTATAATAGCCAAGTATTTTATTTTTTTATTTTTTATTTTTGTAGATCTAGTACCCTTTACCCTACCTTTCTACAACTCTAGAGGTAGACAAAGGAAAAGAAGGAAATATTTATGGATCATTTATTTGACTCCTGTCTAACCATCAAGAATTTTCCCTACTTTACAGATGAGGCACCTGAAGACCAGAGGAATTAGGTAGATTAGTTTCACAGCCAGATTATGTAAGCATCTCCAGATTAAGTCATTTGATTGAATTTGCTACTAAACTGTACCCTACCTTCCCCCACTGCCTTAGTCCCTGATTAGCTTACTGTAGTATAGGCAGCAGCAAATCTGGGGAAGCAGATTCATCTACTCTCATACTCCTGAAACAAAACAACCAACCAGACAGTAAACCACACAAACAAGCACCTCTTTCTGCCTTCATTATTGCCAACAATGTTCTACCTCACAGTAGACTTAAAATCTTAGAGCTATCTCTGACTTTTCCCTCCCATAACTGGTCAATTGCTAAGTTCCACTGATTCTTCCTTGATTCTGCTTCTTGTATCCTTTGCTTCCTTTCCCTTCCTAGTGTCAGCATTGTAGTTTATTTTGAAAACTTACTAATGGTTTCCCTGCCACTAATCTCTGCTTCAACTAATCCTACATACTTCTCCCAAGGTGACTCAAGAGGCAGTTTAGTATAGTGGCTGAAAGTCTGGGGTCTGTAGTCCATATGTCTGAGTTCAAATCTCTAGGTCTTCAACATATAATTTGTGTATTACTTAGTATTTCTGTGCCTCACTTTCCTCTACTATAGAATGAGATTAATGCTAATAACTTTTTCCTAGGGTTGTTTTGACAATCAAGCCTGTCTATCTGTATATCTATCTATCTATCTATCTATCTATCTATCTATCTATCTATCTATCTATCTATCTATCTAATCTATCTATCTATCTATAGATAGATTAGATAGATAGATAGATAGATAGGTACACTATTTAGAATCTGAGGATGAATTAAATTTTAGATAATTTATATCTATAGATAGATAGATAGATTAGATAGATAGATAGATAGATAGGTATAGATATAAATTTATATATATGTACAAAATGTGTGGCACAAAGTGCTCAATAAATGTTAATCACTTGTTACTATTATTATTAAAGTGCATTTTCAGTCACATTATTTTAGTTGGAGCTGGTATTAAAACAAAAATCATGCCCTCTGAGTTTGTAGGCCAAGGATTGAAATACAAAGCTCCAAAATGATAAAAATATGAATAAAGACAAGTATTAGAACTTAAGCAAGACTAAAAAGCATGTAAACCTTAGGTTTAAATTCCTTGTTGATCAGGCATAAAGGCCCCCCTGGTGAGCTAGGTCCCTACATGCCCTATAAAGCATGGCTAGAAGGGCAGAAAAGTGGTGACTAGCACCTGGTCAAGATAGTTCTGGCTTTTTTAACCAACAGAGAGGCTAAAAAAAACTATTCTCTAAATATATAAAATGATAGAGGACATGATTCTGTGCTAATGGTGGCCAGTTACCAGTGACAGGAAAGGAGAAATAAAATGGGGAGAAATTTGGAGTCAGTGGTAGAGGAATAAAAAAAGGCAGAAAAAGACAAGTAGAAACTTAGATTCACACACAAATATACAGAAGGAGACTTGCAGGTTCATGGAGACATAGACTTTGATGTGATTCACTTCCAATTGTGTGGCCTTTATATCCATTCTTCAAATACTTTGGCCCCAATTCTGCCCCTAGGTATACACCTCATATATTCCTAACCTATAAACCTTTTCTTACACCCTTATTTCTCTCTACACCTTCCTTTTGGTCTCACTTTGTTATCTCAGTCTCAATCTCTCCCTTCATCCCTTTCTCCTTTCTCCCCCCTCCATCTCTCTCTCTCTTTCCTCCCTTTATAGGCCTCTACTGTGAAGCCTTCATTAAACATTGTAGTCATACGAGTTTAAAGTTTTCTCTTCCTTCAGTGAACATTTCCAGCACTTGTTTTCTGTTTACCCATCTAGAATCATGTGCTGATTTTATCACTAGCTATAGTTTTCAGCTTTAGGCTATATTGAGAACTTTTGTGAGAAGATGGTGTGTCTTATACTTACCATGTGAGCACTGAAGAAAAAGTAGGATAGTTTGCATAGTATTACCCTGGCCATATCAAAAAGCTAGTGATAAGACTTACATAAATATAGTAACAGGTAGATATTCCCAGCATACTTTGATACGTCTATAAAATCACAAAAGCATAAAGGGAGTTTAGCAGAAGGCGAAGGTAAATCTTTGGAGAAGCAGACACCCATGGTTAATGAGGAAGTTCATTTTAAAAAATGATGGACTATGTCTTCCTTTCGTATTAGAACAAATATGCTCCATTCAATAGCTCATTTGCTGCTTTTGTAGCTTAAGGGTTTTGTTTATGTTCTCTAATTTTTTTCATGTTCTCTACAGATATCTCAATGCCTAATCTGTGCCTGACATTTGTATTCAAGAAGCAGAAAATAAATATAATTAGGATTGTTAATAATTTCATTTCATTGTGTGTGTTTATATATGTCCATGTGTGTCTACTCTCCCCCCTACCTCTCTCCCAGAATTCATTTGGTGAGTGAAAACTAGTTAAATGCTTTGGAGTTAGAGAAAATTAAAGACTAAAATAAGTTATTATCATAGGAGCTATACCATAGGGAATAGAGAATGTGTACCAATACTGTGAAACAAGTAATGAAAAACTAAGTTGAACTGTTTTGAAGAAAACCAATATAGAAGTCTTGAATAATGTACTTAAAAGTTAAGTTCATGTGATTTTACCATAACCTAATTATTGAACATCAACATTCTGTTAAGTAGGTGAAATTCTTTAGAGCATATATAAATATTTTACATAATTATGAATAGAAATCATAGGTTTAAAAATAATTAAATGCTCAGTCAGAGCTAGTTCTCTGACTTCAAACAGCATAGTAATAGGTAATTTTTTAGGAAATGTGATTTTCTGTCATCATGTACATCTTTTATCTGTAACCTAGACATTCACTCAACTCAATTTCATATTTGTAAATTTTCATAGTTTGCCTCAGGGGCAGATTTTTGGCATTTTAAATGCTGTTGATGACTAATGATTATGCAGTTAACATACAGCAACTATTTAGCTTCAGTAATATTATCTTAATGCTATAAGGATGATTTAAGTTATTTAAAACCGAACAGCTTTTTTAAACTTTGATAAAAATATTCTTTTGGAATGTCTAAACCCAATAAAAATATTTTTAAAATCCCAGACGGGACTCATTTTATGCAGAAATTTTACAGTATTGTCTATAAAATGATCTCCACTAGAGAGAGAAATAACTGGCTTTAAATATTTGTTCTTATAAAACATTCCTTATCTTACAGATGAGCTCAGTGAAAATGTTGAAGCCTCGTCTCAATAGCATTCTTTTTAAACTCACGTTTGAAGAACACATAAACAACATCAAACCAAGCATCATAGCAGTAACTCTTGCCTGTGAAGAACTGAAGAAAAGTGAAAGCTTTAACAGACTTTTAGAGTTAGTTCTTCTGGTTGGAAACTACATGAACTCAGGCTCAAGAAATGCCCAGTCTCTGGGTTTTAAGATCAACTTCCTTTGTAAGGTAAGATAACATTTTATAATGCTTATTTACAACAATAATTTTGTCTATGAGAGCGGTCACTCTAAATAGCAATAATACATAAGTCAAAAAAAGTATGTTTTAAAAAGGGTGAATTTTATCATATGTGAATTATATCTCAATTAAAACAGATAGATGATTTTTCAAGATCTTACTTCAGTAAAAGTTCAATGACTGTGTAGATTCTTTTGCAGTATAGTACTAAACTCAGCTCGTTGAATATTACTGGAGTTTGTAGATCAAGAAAATTTGCTTTCATAAGGCAGATACAATCTTGTATTTCAGTCCTTTTTACTTATGTCTCTCCAAAAAGTATTTGAGGAGTGAAATTCGATGAATAGCCAGAAATTTATTTTTGAATGTGCTTTGCTTATTCTACCCTAAGAGAATAACATTCTTTATTGTTAAATAGTGTGTTACTAAACTTATATTAGGTATCTAGTCCATTTCCAAATATTAAAATATCAAGTGACATTTTATTGTTTAATTTGTACTTTTATAATATCATTTTTGAGATTTTAACTTTTGTGGAAAGTAAACAGAAAAAGAGAAGCACACAAGTGCTTGCATATGTCCATTTCTAGACTAGAGCAAACTACCTTATTCAAGGGAAAGATCTGTCTGTTACAGAGAGAAAACTGAACAGACTGAGATGAAGGCCTGTAAGAAAGCTAGAGACGAAAATAAATCTGAAAACAAGCGATATATCTTTGACATCTCACCATTCCTTCACATTTTTTTTCTCTCACATCTGAAAACATTGCAGAACTTTGCTTAGTTCTTGAAGTACATTATAATGAGAATCTCAAATCTAGCAATGGATAGAATGGATATAAATTTCTTTTCTATTCATGCATTAAATAGATGTGTATTACATATACATGGACAAGCATTTTAATATGTATCAAAAATGATTTGCTCCTGGTAGTTCTAGCTCAGATAGACATAACGAATACTATTTGTAGATAATAGGATATATAATGGAATTGTATTTGCTTACTCCTGATTTATTTCTGTGGGATATAAGGAAAGAGAAAAAGATATCCGCATTGCTAAATTCTGTCAAAAAAAACATTTTTCTTCCCTCTTCTTGTGATATCAGGGGGCGTGTGAAATTATTTGATAAAGCCAGAAAGAATGAGACAATGTTTGTAATAAACTGGACTAAATCATAGCCAGATTTGTAGGATAAAACTAAATATTTAACACTTTTGTATCATATTGCATACCACATACTGAACACTAATAAAGTCGTTTCTTACCAAGATGCTACTCATTTAGAGTATATGCTGTATGCACAGTGAGTGAATCTTGAAGTATTCTTGGTTGATTATAAAAGTATCATAAATTAAAAGAAAATATTAAGAATTTCTATCATATACATATTTCACATTTAATTCAAATAAAATGACATTTAAAACAAAATATCCTAATTTGAATAAATACATACCTTTTTAAGTGTCTTAATTTCACAGCATTCAAATTAATTTCATGAACTAATTTTTTTGAAGCAAGAATGAATAAGTCATTTATACACAGGAACAAAAGATTATATTAATCTCACAGAAGGATTTTATAGTTACATCTCATATTTTGGAGAGAGGCTTCTTCCTGTCATCTACCTGTCAAATGAAAGTTCTTCCACACAACGCTGATCTGACATCTATCACTAGAGGTATGCTCAAAGGATTTGGCATAAAGATTTTTGCCAACTTCAAATAAAATTAAAAAAAAAAATCTTGTGAGAAATACTATCAAGTAGTAATAGGTGTTCTAAAAGAGAAAGGAGTGAATGTTTTAAAATCTCCCCCTCCCAATTTTTCAGTAAGATTTTTATCTTCAGGCAAATACTTATTAAAAGAGAGAGAAATACCATATGCATGCATGATATTCACATAATATCTAGGATTAAAAGGATGTTCCTGTAATACAAAGGATTCTGAATAGATGTAAATGTCTAAAATGACAGAAACTTACTGAAGTACATAGAAATAGTTCGCTTAAGTTTGTAATCTGTTCAAATCTGAATTAACTAACTACTGATATATGATTAGCTAGAATTGCTATTAAATTCTAGTTATTTTATAAAAGATTACTTGATTGATTTTTCTTAGTGCTATTTTTTTCTTAAAAATAGCAGGAGGAACTTTCTTTGTAGAATACTGATTATGCTTTTAAAATGATGCCATTTACCCACCTAAATTATTCTAATGATAATTTTCTTTCTCAGTGAATTTAAAACTGCAGTCCACCATTTTTCACAAGAAGCTATAGACTATGTTGTAATATTCACCTAGTTAAAAAGGAGCCACGATATAAACAGTTAAACTTACCTGATGTGTCTTGTAATAAAGTAGCATTAAAAATTCGGATGGTCACAATTGGCTCCTATAATATTTGGGAAGAAAAGGAAAACAGATGGGTTAACCGAAATGTCACATATCACTAAAGATATCCTTACTATAAGTACTACCCTCACTACACAATGCTTTGCTAATTTGCAGCAGTGAATTTTCACTTTGTGAGTCACCAAACCAGAGTGCTGAACTGTAATAAAAATTGTTTCTGTGCAGATGAGTCCCCCCTGTTAGCTTGGCCCCACTTGCCTGTTGGTTATTAAAATTCTAACCAATAGCTATGTTGCACCTCAGGGTCATTGTTTATGTTTTCAGTATATAATAACATATATAATCTGCATAAAGACAAAACATTTAAAAATACTCAGCACTTCCTAGATAATAAGCTTTGAGGATATATCAGATAAGGATCTTTGTCAGCAACAGAAAATGTCTGATTGAAATAAAAAATGGAATTTATTGGGAGGGTATAATGTAGCTTATCCAGAAACTGAGGAAAGGCTGAAGAATTTGGTCTTTAAAAGAACAGCGACTATGGCAAGTTTGAGAATGCAGGGAGTGGGAACTAATAGAAAGTCTTTTTAGGAAGTTACCTTTTGGGTGTGTTAGCTCCAACCATTTTTCTCTTTCTTTCCCTGTGCTTCATTCAAATTCTAATTAGAAAGAGAGACTGGCTTAGTGTGGATTACAAGAACATCCCTTGTCCAAGGGAGGACAGATAACCTCCAAGTCAGGGACAGCCTACCAAGATTACCTGTGGTGGAAGATTGGCCATACCCTAAAGGGTGATGTTACCAGAGATGGGGATACCCAAGGGTAGGTGTCAAGTGAAGGGATTTCAGGAAAGCTCAAACAAAGGCAGTACAAAAGAGATGGTTGATAGACCAGGGGGATACAAATAATACAGAAGACAAACAGGAATCTCAAGATGCTTGTGGTGCAGTTGCATAGCCAGGCAGTATACATACAGAGAATTATATAATGTCAGAGGATACACTGTCGAAGATTACAGAAAATTAATGGCCATTGAAATTACTGTTATGGTGCTATCAATTCTAAGACCCAAGGTGCCAATTGAGATGAATTATGAGCCTTCATTAGCTGGCCAGCAATTTACTCTCTACCATGCAGGGTTAGAGGAGATCAGCCCTGAGCTCCCAAAAGAGGCAGCTCATAAAGCCTAGAACCACAGCCTGGTTTAATATCAAACAAGCAAACAGATTAACCACACCCTAGTTAACATCAAACAAGCAAGCAGATTACAGAAGCAGAAGTTGGCCATTAGCATTTCTTTGCCCCAAACCACACCCTTAACATTACATTGAGATTAGCAGGACTTCAGAGAAGGGTGAGAATTTTTGGTGATGGGCATAGGGAAGGATGGTACTGGTAAATTGGAAGAGAAGGATCTTGAAGGATAGGTAGAATTCACTTATATGAAGGAAAGAAGCCATAACCTTACAAGATGAGCGAACACTGGGCTCAAAAACTACATTTTAGCTTCCATTTTGCTAATTACTAGCAAAATTTTCATGGCTAAGTCACTTTCTCTGAACTTCAGTTTCCTCATTTGTAAATGAAGAAATACAGTGGCCCTTGTTTATTTTCATAGGGTTGTTTTCAGAGTCACATAAAATGATCTTTGTCAGACTACTTTGAAAAATCATAATATTAAACAGATGGTAGTAGTTCTTTTTAACGATGGTACACAGTTATGAACAACCATGTGTTTGAGGATGAATTAGAAAACCATACTTTCTGGAATATGGAGTATATGATAACAAATGATAACAGTGATAGGCAGGTTATGAAAAGATTTTGAGTTATTTGTATACTAGTATGGATATCTTACCTCCAAAATTATGTCTTTGTTTTTTGAAAATCATTCAGAGCCTATTTCATAACTTATGAAGGCCAAAAAGCTTTTTCTGCTTTGAGTTAATATCTCTTTCACCAATATTATGACTTTCTAGTCATTGTAGTTGAACAGAGAGACATAACAAATTATGATACAGAAGGATGATGTGCTTTTGTACAGATGTGAAATGTGTCATACGAAGAGCCTGAAGAAAACATTTAGATTTACTGTGAGGAAAATCTTACTTTAGATATCTTACTTTGTCGTTAGGATTGATGTAATAATGTAATTGTGCTACTTTTTCTAAGATTCATCATTTATATAAAGTATGTGTAACATATAAAGGCCTCATTTCCTAGAAGCCCTCACATAGTATTAGTGACAGAATCGTACAGACATCACTCAAAGTATACAAAGGAAAGCATCTATCTCTCCCATAGAAATCATAAGAAGGAATGTGAAATAGGTTCAGTTTCATTGTGAAATAGAAGGTAATTTACCAAACTATATTATTTGTAAGGAAAATGATTGCTGTCTATGGAAGCAAAAATTGGAAATATGTAATCCAAGAGAAAATCTACAGAAGACCTAAGAAAAAAGTCATTATCTAAGTACTCTAAAAATTTCAGTATCTAAGCATTTTTAGCTGAAATGATGTGGATTGTACCCATATAAACTTAGAATCTTAGCATCAGAATATATCGAGACTAGCCTCTTCAGTCTGCAGATGACAAACGTGAAGCTCAGAGACGTGAAATATTTTCGGT